TGTAACACAACCTTTGAATATTGAAAATCTTTTACTCTTTGAGTATTATTAAAATAGTGTGATGCTATTTTAGCCAAATTCCTAATTCTATATCTTAAGAGTGGTTATCTTAAGTGTGAGTTTTAGGTTCTAGATATTTGATTAAGTGTGTCATATCTTAATTAAATTCTAGATTCAAACCCCAAGTTAGGATAAGAGTGTGTAATATCTCTTAAACACCAACTTGGTTTATCCATCCCTGATTTTCTTCCATTTCATACCTCCCCATTTCTCCTCTTAATCTTACTCTTTTCTTCCATTAAAAATACCCAAAAGAACTCCCTCATCAGCCCCATATATTTCCAACCCATTCCCCGTAAAAACGCCTTTCTTCCTGTCCAGAATCACTGCCAAACAATCGATTATCACTCCCCACAATCGATTATCAGTTCCATTGGAAACATCTGCAGGTAGTAATAATCGATTATCCCTTTAAGATAATCGACTATCACTCATTCCCAGAAAATCTGCAGCCTTCCATAATCGATTATCACTTCTTGTAAATCGATTGTTTATTTCTCCTAAACTTCTGAAGCTCCTCCTGAGAAACTGAATCACTTGACAATCGATTATCCTACTTGGACAATCGATTATCATACATCAAGGGAAACTCCTGCAGTCCTATATAATCGATTATCACCATACTGATAATCGACTATCCACCCATCCAGCAAAAGAAGGAGCTTGTTCCTTAAATCCGAGCTTAATACCGACAAACCCGGAGCGTAGATATAACATTTGGTATCAGAGCTTGTTGTTCCACATCCCTCAAGGGGCCAAAACACCATCTCCTACATTTTCTCTTTTGAAACATTTTTCACATCATCCAAGATATGTCTCAATATGATGTAGTTGCTGCCCAAGAAAAGTTAAAGAAGGAAGTTGAGCTTATGATGAAACAAGTCAAGGAGCTCACTAATTCAGTGGAGATTCCCACGTTTGAAGGAAGAAATGACCCGGAAAAGTTCTCAAGGTGGTTAGCAAAAGTTGAAGACGTCTTTACGCTCAAAGATGTACCCGAAGACAAGAAGGTCAAGCTAGTGGTG